TCAAGCTTTTATTTGAAAAAAAGTTCATCATTTTACGATGATTTTTCGCGGAGTTACCGTTAACCAAAGTTGACCAATTTTTGCTCAAAATGTTTCTATGCCATAATTTTTTTGAGCAGTGTATATACATACATACTAATACTGTCTGTCATCCAGATGGAGCATAGAGGCGTTAAAGCAATTAAAAGATTCACTTCCCGCGGGGGTCATCGTCGACGTTCTGCGACAAGCGGCGAAGTCGTGCGTGGTGAAACGGGAGTTCCAGAAAGCTGATTTACTGATCAAAGAAGCCGTGTACCTTGCGCGAGAAGTATTCGATACGGATCATCCAAAGTATAGCGACGTTCTCATCGATTACGGATTTTTCTTACTAAACTTCGATAGCATCAGCAATAGTGTAACAATATACAAGGTATTTAGTCTTCAGCACACACCCTTTACGTACGAATCCTCTATAATCTTGGCAGAGACAAATTGTAAAACACATTTCCGTCTTGTACTTGTAGACTGCGTTAGATATTAGAAGAACGATTTTCGGCAGGACTAATCTTCATGTTGCCTTGGCACACGAAGACCTAGCTTACGCTCTCTACGTGCACGAATACAGTTCCGGCAGATTCGACGAGGCGAGGTAGTCGATTGGAATCACACATTCGGTTTATCATATATCGAAAGTTCAATTAAGGAGTAATCGACACTCTTGGTTTTTTTGCAGCGATAACGCTGGAATAGCTATAGACATTATGGAGAGACATTTACCCCCGAATCACTTGATGCTCGCGAGCGCTAGGAGAATAAAGGCGCTTATTCTCGAAGAAATCGCTATAGATAACGCATCCACGCCGTTGTCGGAGCAAAATCTCTTACTCAAGTCCGAGTGTCTTCATTTGTCCGCTTTGGAAATGTCGAAAACCGCGTTTGGCGAGAGAAATGTGCAAACGGCGAAACATTACGGGAATCTGGGTCGCCTGTACCAGAGTATGAGGAAGTTTCAGGTATTTCGTACATTTACACGCTGTACATATTCAATTACTTTTTGCTTTATTACTCAACATTGCCGTGGGTGTCTCCAGGAGGCGGAAGAGATGCATCTGAGAGCTATTGGTATTAAAGAAGAATTATTAGGACTTAACGACTACGAGGTAGGCTTGAGTGTAGGGCATTTAGCTTCGTTGTATAATTTCCACATGAACCGGTACAGAGATGCCGAAAAGCTCTACCATCGTAGTATCTCAATCAGTGAGTATATACATACCTTTTTTAAATTGAGTCCATTTTTAAGGCCCATCTACACAAGTCGCAAAACGCAAACGCGGACGCAAGATGACATATTCATGCAAATCGGCTAACTCATTGTTCGAGGAGGAAGCACAAATCAAATTAAAAGGCTCTCTCATAATTTTTCAATGTTGGTTTATACTAATTGTTAATTAATTTTCGTAAATTTGCGTTCTGCGTGTTGCGACTCGCCTATAGACGGGCCTTTATGGGCACGAAAATGGGCCAAGTGCGACTCACACATTTTGCTTTGAACAGGCTTGAAGTTATTCGGAGAAGGTTATAGTGGTTTAGAATACGATTACCGAGGACTTTTACACGTGTACAGTAAGTTAGACGATCACGAGAAAATAGCGGAATACACGGACACATTGAATCATTGGAAGGAGATGCGAGACAAACACGCTCAATCCGAGGAACCACCGATCGATGTACAAAAACGTCCACAGCCAATCAAGAACGTAATGAATGTGTTCTTTTCCATGTGATATACCAATAATCTAATTCGAATTTTTATGTCATTATATATTATCAAGCAACTCGCTCGTCTCGTTACGTTTACAAGACATTGGGCCAAAGTAGGAAAGGAAAGAATAAAAAAAAAAGGTTACAACTCGCATTAGAAATTTGTAAATTAACTCCAATCTGATCGTACGAGTTAATAATTACGTCTGTCTTTATCTATTTTATAACACGTACGTAGAGTATCGGTACCACGTAAGATGTCGTAAGAAGTAAATTGGAATTATCAGTGCGATATTAAATATATTAAATTCAAACGATACAATGTTGAAAATATTAACTTAATTTATCAATTATTTTCAGTAGTCTTGATGATATTGCGATATAAACATTGATGGGGCTTTCTTCTTCTCTTTTTTTATAGTTTGAGTTGCTGTGCTTGTTTTGATTTATATTTAGACTTGATATTCATGTTTTATCTCGATGTATTAAAAATTCTTGCGCATAAAAATATATCTTTTTTAAATATTTTGTATTTATATATATATATATATATCTCATTTTAATATAAATTTGTTTTAACCTGTATTTGTATATATGTATGTTTTATATATTTTACGATTCGCTACTCGTTGCTGGCTCTACTTCCCAAAGAGAGTCGCTCAGGTTTCACATAAAATGTTTTTTTTTTTTTTGTTACGATTGCTTGTCAAACGCATTTATGACATGTTTAATTTCATTGTTCATCTCAGGATTACATCGATCATAGGTCTTCACGCATCGCATAATTTTTAAGTAACAAAAAATATTCAAAATACATGTGCGCCTGTGTTCATAACAGTAATGTAGTTAGAGATAGATAATTAAAGCTAATTAAAACTCGATGAACAATTTGTTGAACAGATGTTTTGCTGTATGAAGTTACCTTCCCACCTCGTAAAATTTAACATTAAAAATTTTAAAATATACCTCCTACATATATATCCTATAATTTTTTGCCAAGCATTTCGTACTCGTACAAATGCCGTAATGAATACAGATAATTAGAAGCTATTAGACGCGCGCGTGTCCTTGGCCTGCTCCTAGAGATATCTCGAAATGATGAATTTTTCATTCTCGCTAAATTATTTACAAGTGTTTCTTTGCAGATTTCGTGTATTCACTTCAATCTTAAAAATTCATTTAGGCACTTCAAATAGATCGAACGACAGGATAGCACGCACATCCGCTCAATGTAAACTTATATAACTGAATAATTAGTAAAAGCCTCTTTGGATAAATTCAGACGATACAAGGGTATAGCAGGCGCTCGAAGTGTAACTGGCAATACGTAATCTATTTAGCGGTATTGTACGCAAATTCAAATTAATCTTTGGAAATTTAAATAGATCACATGTCATCAACTGCACCTCAAGTTCTTATTGCTCTTGTATTGTCATTTACATTATTGAATGCATTAGAGCTAGCAGTCACAAGATAACAAATTAAATATACATTCTACTCAGTTTGATCAACAATTAATAAAAGCATTCAATTGTTTTCTTTTTACATTAAAAGAAAGATATACAGAAACAAAATTAAGTAAACAAAAAAAAATGTTCTATCAAAAAGACTTAAATGTTTCTCTTGCGTGGGCTACGTTCGGAGAAATATATTGTCAGCACTATTACGTCATTTTGTCCTTGTTTTACGTCTAAAGAACGCTAAGGATGAAAATGACACAATAGCGCGCTCGCCGAGCACAGCCGTAAATTTAAAAAATTCTCAATTAAACATTTGAGAGATCCGTAATTAAATAAAGACAAGATAATGTAATATATAAATACTCACGGTGTTCTTCTGAATAACTCATATACATTCAAAAGCTTTAATCTGTTTAAATTACAGTAACCATTAGGTAGTACATAACTTTATTATTTACACGATATTTGTTGTATCACTCCGGTTTTTTTTTTTTCAGGTAATAGGAATCTTATCTATCCCATTTTTTATGCTATCAACATTTCTAACTTTCTCTCTTTCTACAAAACAAAAGAGAGTCATCGATTAGTCACCTTAATGACCGGTACAACTCGAGACGTACAAACTATAATCAGCATGTCACCGCGGACCGGATATTGCACATCTCATTAAAACCGTGTTAGAATCCCGTGACTTTTAGAACATTTAATCAGGTGTATGTGGAGGCTCTTGGCTGAAGTATGGTGCGGTATCTTGCACTAATAAAGTATGACAAACATCACAGACTCTGGATGGTCTTTGTTTCGGCCCGCTGTTCACAACGTGCGAGAGGCAAGATTGACAAAATATATGGCCACAGTGACGACAATGTACCTGCGCACGACATTAAGCTTCTTTAATTCCATTACATGTATGTATACGGAGAGGCCGTAGTAAACAATTGATTTGCGCTTCTTCAACTCACCTTCTTCTTCGTAACTGAGAACGTGGTATGACAACTCGGACATTCCTCGACGTCCTCTTCGTGTTGCCATCTCACTTCACTACCTGCCTGCCTAATCCTTTCCAGTTGCACCTGCGTGTAATTAATCAAATTAACAAAATAATGTTATTTCGTACAGGTATATTGTAATACTACTTATAATTTGTAATATTTGTAATGTAGCGAGCTATCTTTTATATTTACAAATTTTTTTTTCGATAATTTTAAATGAACTTTATATCTCGAGAACTTTGAATTTACGCTGTTTATATTAGGGCTGGTGATTTGCTTCGAAGCTTCGGCATTAAAATCTTCGAAGTTTCGTAAAGTACATTCGTTGCAAATGATAAATTTATTCAGTTACAAGTATTGTAAATAAAAAGAATTAATATATGTTCAAAATATACGAAATTATTTCTAAAAAAATTTGAAAGAAAGAGTATTATAACCTGAAATATTACAAATTAATAATTAAACTTGATACATATGTAAATAAGGAAAGATAGTGATCAATAAAACAATCCAATTAAGAAAATTAAGAAAAAAAAATGTATTCTCAAACTTCGAAGCTTCGAAGGCAACCTTAAACTTCGAAATTTCGAATATTCGAAGTAAGTAAAAAGTTAACAGCCCTAGTTTATATTATTTCTATCACCTGTAATGATTGTGATAATCTAACGAAGTCTTTCTGCACCGCCTCACTGGTGTCCAATTCCTGCTGTAGACTCATAACTCTTTGCCGTAGTTCAGTTATAGCTGAGTCCGCATCCTTCTTCTCTTTTTGGATTTCCTGCAGCTGCTTTTCCAACCGGTCGAGTTTCTCCTCTCTGTCAGCGAGTGTACGATGATCTCTTGCGTATTTATCTAATTGCGCTCTACAAAACATTGAACAAAGAAAAATTGTATGTTAATGTTCATAGTATTAAACAATCGTAATCGATAATTTTATCATTGTATATAAAGGGTGTTCGAGATTTACCGCACCACCTGCTAATGGCAGATTCTTGAAATCGTTTAGACAAAAATTATAATACCAAAATATTGAGACTATAATTTTCAAATGAAAAAGATGTTTAAAGATGGTCCAATCGGGTTGTTCAAAATTCGAACATTCAAATCCGTTATATAGTGTTTAAATTTTTTTTTACGTGCACTTTTAAATTTATATCTTCGCAACTTTTCTCATTTAATTAATTAGTATGTTAAAACTAAAATTGTAGTCTCAACGTTTTGATATTAAAATTTTCGTCTCTAAATAACTTTAAGAATCTGCCAATGGTAGATCTAGTACACTCTGTACAGTGTGTCAGTAAGTGCAGTCGCTCACCTCAACCCGCTTATCTCATTCTTTAATACCGCATTATCCTGTTCTTTGACTCTATTCTCCTGCTCCATTTGTTCTCTCAGTAAAGTAACTTCGTATCGCAGCGTTTCTTCCTTCTCCTGCGCAACCTCTTGAGCTACTTTGGCCGTAATTAAATCCTCGCGCATCTTTAAAAGGCTCATATGCAATTCCTCAACAGTATTTGGCATGTTGATGCTTTCACTTTGAAGTTGTTGCGAATGTTTACTATGTTTACCCACAAGATTTTCATTTTCCATCTGAAGTCTGCAAATATACCACTCTTGAATAAAACTCTATTAATAGTACACTCGAATAAAGCTTTATCAATAATATACTATAATACTCGAATAAAGCTTTATCAATAATACCTACTCATCTTACTTATAATATTTCCTATTTTTATGCATAATTTAACTTTGTATACAGAGTGTTCCGAAATTCGCGAATCGAAATATCACAGTAAGAAAAATCAAGTAAAAAAGTGTTATTTGTAAATTTTTATTTTAAGCAATAATTTTCGAGATATAAAGATTCCAATTTACCCAATTACAATTTATGTTTAAGATTACTAACGCTATTGCTAACACTAAACTGTTACACACGCGACTCATGGACAGGTTATCTAAATGTAGTCTGTAATTGGCCTTGTTATTTCAAAAATTACTGCTTAAGACATTTACAAATATCTTCTTTAATTTTTCAAAAATTTTCTTGCTATATTTTGATTCGCGTATTTCAAGACACCCTGTATACACAATATACGGGGTATTTCCTAATATGTGGGTCCCACTTCTCTGGTGTAGACACGAAGACAGGAGATACACTTCTTATAAAGGTAACCACAACATATTACTAGAACACAAATGTGACTTATAACTCAGAAACAAAATCAAATGGGGCTTACATGTTTATATGAACTTTTAATCATTGTTTTTGTGTCTCCTGTCCACCACAGTAAAATGGCTCTCACATGTTAGGAAACACCTGTATATAATACCATTAAAAATGGATTTGTCTAGAAAAGGATTATCTTACGCGGTGAGATGTCTCTGCACTTCCTCTCTGCCTCGTGTCAATTTACAAAGTTCCTCCGACACGCTCCTCTGAATTTGTTCGAAGGTCTTCTTTAATTCTAACAAATTTTGCTGCGCCGTCTGCGAGGTGACGGTGAGCTCCGCAACTTTGATTTTATGCTCCTCCTTCTTCTCATTCCACTTCTCCTCCATCTCCTTCCGAAACTCAACTTCCTTAGCTAGATCCTCCTTTTGAGCTTGCAGCATACGTTGCGAGTCCAACAGCTGCCTCTCCAAATCCTTGGCAGTCGCTTCTACTTTGACTAATTGTGCTTCGTAGTTCGCGCACATATCACACGACGGCTCGAAGGAACCAGGTTCCTGCTGCCGCCTCTTTAATAGAACTTCTTTACACTTTTGTAACTCGTCGTCGGTCGACCGTAGTTTCTCTTTTAAAGCTTTTATCTCCTCCTCGAGCGGCACAACCAACGAACGTAGAACTTCCGCGTCTTCCTGCGCCTACGCAATCAACACAACTTATATCTATCATCGTAGCAAATATTATTGCTGTAAGACAAGCATTAGTCTGAACGTGTCTAAGGATAGACGTTAGTATTATTTAAAAGTGTATCACAAAATATATATAATTCAAATTCTTGCTTCAAAAGTGACATTTCATGCTATCAAGTAACAATTAAAAAAAAAACCCTTTTCGACTTATCATGAATGAGTTAGATGAACATCACCCCCTATCATCCATACATCAAAAGTAAATTAACTTGATTTCATAAAAAATCATAACTCAAAAAGGGTGATTTTAAAAAAATCATAAAAATACCTAGTCACAATTTTTTAAAAGTGATTTTTTACAGATTGTGAAACGAAAATGTCAAAAATAACATTTGATCATGTCAATACATTCTTTTGCCGAAATTATTTGATTAGTTCGATAATTTTCTGCCAAGTTGAAAGATAATCTTTCCATTTTTCTAGGAAACTTAATTTTCATTACTTCTCTGACTTGTGTCACTTCTGAAGCAAGAGTACAATGTGAATTTGTTTGCGCAAAGGATTAAAAAGCTTCATGCAACTTTAGATTTACGTACATATTTTTTTACCTTCCGCATGCTTTCTTCTAAATTGTCAGGCCCCAGAGACAGGGAGTCCGCGCCTAATTGCGAAACTACTTTTCTAGCTAGTGTCTTAGTTACTGTAGACAACGAGATTTGCGGCCCGTCCGCCGGTGGATCGCGCGGCAATTGCGTCTTCAGCAGTGCGTTCTCTTCCTGAAGCTTGGCAAGGGCAAACTGCAATTTCGACACCTCACCGACGAGCTGCTTCCGCGAACAGGAGGACTCCTCCACCGTTTCGTGTATAACCTGCTGCAAAGACGCTATCTCCTCCTGAGCCTTTCGCTTCTCTATCATCATATCGTTTTGTATCTTAAGATCCGCGACGACTAGTTGGCTCTTAGCCTCGTCCAGCTCGTTCTTCAGTCTCAGATTTTCCTTCTGCAGGCCCACGTTCTCCTCCAGCCTCCGCTTCAATTCTTCTGCAAAGATACATTTGACTCTTGACTTGGACCACTCTGACCAATTACGATTAACTTTAATCGACAATCAATTCAAATCGCCTGGATAACCAAGCTAACCGTGTTTGCTGTCATTTTGACATTAAAATGGCACTATTGGTGACATTTTAACGCAAAAATAATGATAAGCAACGTCAGTTTACTATTCGATCGAGTCAGTCATCAATTAAAGTTAATCGGAGTTGGTCAAAGTGGGGCCCTAAGGGCCAATTTCGTCAATTTCTTCGATTAACTTAACCGGCCGATCAAGTGTCAACCGTGATTGATCAATTCTGCGGTCAGTTCTGCTCAACAACAAATGCAATTGGTCGATTCCAATAGAATAATCAGCTGGTTAAGTTAATAAAATTGGCCCCAACTGTCCGGGGGAGCTATACTTGACTGGGGTTCAAGTTGCCACGTTACCTTCCTTCTGCAGGAACAGCTCCTTCATCTTGGCCCTTTGTACATTGAACTCCTCTCGCATCTTAACGTTCTCCGACTCCAATCGGCTGATCTTCGCCTGCGGATCTTCTGAATCGTAACAAAGACACCTATCTCAATGAAAATTGAATCGCATTTCGCGCGAGGGAATCTCTACATACAGATATACATATTATTAAACAAATCACGCGCGCCGTCGAGAGAAGCCCGAGACGAGCGGTGGGCAAAATGTGCAGTGCTTCTCCTAACCCACCCCACGTCGCGTTTTTTTCGCAATTTACTTCCTCCCCCTCGAAGTCGTCGCGACGACGACGGGGGGGGGGGGGCCTTAGA